TTGCTCACTTCTCCACTGTCCTCCCGTGTCCGGCGGCCCCCTCTGGCACCCTGTCTGGTCTTTACCTCCCCTCGTTCTCTACGAACTTGGTGAGTGGTGCTGACCTACAGGATGCGGGGGTTCACCAGTTCACTCCTGGGAGTCAGCGGGTGACCCACTGCACGGACGCTCGGACTGGCCGACACCTGGCCACGTTTACCCGTCGGCCGGGGTCGAGCCTGTACACCCTGACCTCTGCGTCTCCTCCAGTCACTGCGTCTGGTCAGGTAGCTGCGTCCGGTCAGGTGTTTGCTGCAGCGTCCAGGTCTGGTCCTGAGTCTGCCCCCTGTTCGTGTCGCCTCCTGTCTCACGAGACTCTCCTCTGGCACCACCGCCTTGGTCACCCCTCCCTGCTTCGTCTCCGAGGCATGGCCTCCCGTGTCCTTGTCTCTGGTCTTCCCCGGTCCCTCCCTCCCCTTCCTCCGGGGCCTGGCCCTACCTGCGTCCCCTGTGTCGAGGGGCGGCAGCGGGCTGCCCCTCACTCCTCCCAGTTTCCTCCGACAGAGGCCCCGCTGCAGACGCTTCACATGGACGTGTGGGGCCCGGCCCGCGTCCGTGGACAGGGTCACGAGCGCTACTTCCTGCTGGTGGTTGACGACTACTCGCGTTACACCACAGTCTTCCCCTTGCGCAGCAAGGGTGATGTCACTGAGGTGTTGATCGACTGGATCCGCGCAGCTCGTCTCCAGCTCAGGCAGAGCTTCGGTTCGGACTTTCCTGTTCTGCGTCTGCACTCTGACAGAGGTGGAGAGTTCTCCTCTGGCCTTCTGCGAGCCTACTGTCGAGCACGAGGCATCCGCCAGACCTTCACGCTTCCGGACTCTCCACAGCAAAATGGGATTGCTGAGCGCCGCATTGGCATGATCATGGACGTCGCCCGTACGTCCATGATGCATGCGGCTGCCCCCCATTTTCTGTGGCCGTTTGCGGTTCGGTACGCGGCGCATCAGATCAACCTTCACCCTAGGGTCTCCAGACTGGAGACCTCCCCTGCTTTGCTGTGGACGGGGAAGGTTGGCGATGCGTCTGCGTTCCGTGTCTGGGGATCTCGGGCGTTTGTCCGCGACTTGTCTGCGGACAAGCTGTCCCCTCGTGCTGCTCCTTGCGTCTTCCTTGGCTTCCCCCCTGACGCGCCAGGGTGGCAGTTCTACCACCCCACCTCTCGCCGTGTTCTGTCCTCCCAGGACGTCACGTTTGACGAGTCGGTCCCCTACTACCGCCTCTTCCCCTACCGCACTCCGTCCCTCCCCCCACCACCGCTCTTCCTTGTGCCAGGTCCCCCCCCGGTAGACCCCCTCCCCCCTCAGGGTCCTGCCCCTTCAGGTGTGTCCCAGGTAGACGCAGTCGAGCCTGTCGAGGTTACTGGTGACTCTGGTGCTGCTGAGGGTGCTGAGCCTGGGGGTGCTGACTCTGGGGGTGCTGAGCCTGGAGGTGCTACTACTGGAGGTGCTGAGCCTGGGGGTGCTGAGCCTGGGGGTGCTGAGCCTGGGGGTGCTACGCCTGGAGGTGCTGGGCCTGGGGGTGTGGAGCCTGAGGGAGCTGGGCCTGCTTGTGTGGCGTCTGGCGGTGCTGAGCCTGGAGGTTCTCCGGGTGCTTCGTCTCGGCGGGAGCCACTCTCTCCACAGGAGCTGCGCGAGTGGTTTGCCCGGCGCTGGAGGCGTGCTGCTGGAGCTGGAGGTTCTTCGGCTACTGAGGGTGCTGGTGCCGCGGGTCCCGGAGGTGCTCGTACTGGGAGTACTGGAGCTGCTGGGCCTGCGGGTACGACTGGAGCTGGAGCTGCTGAGGGTGTTGACGCTGAGGCTACTGCTGTCGGTCCTGGAGGCGGGCCTGCTGGGGGTGCTACTGGTGCTGCTGGAGGTACTGGAGCTGGAGTTGCTGCTGGCGCTGGTGCTGCCGCTTGGGGTACTGGTGCTGTCCCTGCTGTGTCTGGAGTCGCCGCGCGGCCTCGGCCGTACTTCGTTCCGCTCCTTCAGCAGGTTCTTGGTCTCCCGCCTTCTACTGGCCCTCCTCCTCCCTTAGAGAGTCCACCGCCTGTCCTGTCACAGTTACAGTTACAGCCGGCCTCCCCACTGCCCGCTCCTTCTCCCTACACTGGTCCTACTGGAGGTCTTGCTGAGCGTCGTGAGCCTGCGTCGCGTCCTGCGTCGCCTGTCCGTACTGCTCGCGCTAGTGGTCGTGGTTCGCGTCAGCGTCCTCCTCCTGTCCCTGGCACGCACCGGATTTCTCTGCGTCCGTCCACTGCTCCTCTGCGTGCCCCTTTGCCTTCTCCTCCTGAGTCCTCTCTTCCTGCTCTTCCCGACCCAGAGTCGGACTCTCTTCGTGCTGCCAGTCCTACTGTCACGCGTCTCCTTGCTACTGTCGTCACTGACCCTTCCTTTGCGTCCACTGCTGCGTCTGCCCTAGTTGCTGAGCTCGTCGACTTTGCTGCTCGCTGTCGTCTAGACTACGCTGCTTGTCTTGTCGCTGAGTCTGAGTCTGTCTGTCCTCCGTCCGTCGGGGGTGAGTGTGCCCTTGGCACGGACGTCCTTGAGGACAGGCAGGAGGAGTTCCAGTGTCTGGCTGCTGCTTCACCTCATCTCGTGTCCGTACTGCTTACCCCTGAGGGAGACCCGGATGCACTTGACATCCCGACTCCGCGCTCTTACGCGGAGGCGATAGAGGGTCCCTACTCCTCTCAGTGGCAGGCAGCTATGGACACAGAGATGGCTTCCTGGAAGTCCACAGGTACCTACGTTGACGAGGTTCCCCCGCCTGGGGCGAACATCGTCAGTGGCATGTGGATTTTCAGGGTGAAGCGGCCGCCGGGTTCTCTGCCTGTCTTCAAGGCGTGTTACGTGGCTCGTGGCTTCAGTCAGCGGCAGGGAGTTGACTACTTTCAGACCTTCTCTCCCACCCCGAAGATGACCACTCTTCGGGTACTGCTGCACATAGCTGCTCACCGCGACTACGAGATGCACTCTCTTGACTTCAGCACTCCTTTCTTGCAGGGCAGCCTGCACGAGGAGATCTGGCTGCGTCGCCCACCTGGCTTCACTGGGTCTTTTCCTCCTGGCACCCAGTGGAGCCTCCGGCGGCCAGTCTACGGTCTCCGCCAGGCACCGCGTGAGTGGCACGACACACTGAGGACTACACTTGCGGCTCTTGGGTTTGCTCCCTCTACTGCCGACCCGTCGCTGTTTCTGCGCACCGACACTTCTTTGCCGCCGTTCTACATCCTCGTGTACGTCGACGACTTGGTCTTTGCCACAGCTGACACTGCTGGACTCGCCCACGTGAAGTCCGAGCTGCAGAAGCGACACACGTGCACAGACCTGGGTGAACTGCGCAGCTACCTTGGCTTGCAGATCACCCGGGACAGAGCACGCCGCACCATTACCCTGACTCAGTCACACATGGTGCAGCAGGTCCTTCAGCGCTTCGGCTTCACGTACTCCTCGCCTCAGGCCACTCCTCTGCCTACTCGCCACTCGCTCTCAGCTCTGCCTTCGGATGAGTCCGTAGAGTCGAGTGGCCCGTACCCAGAGCTTGTTGGCTGCCTCATATACCTGATAACCTGCACACGACCTGACCTCGCATACCCTCTTAGCATTCTCGCACGCTATGTTGCTCCTGGGAGACACAGACCGGAGCACATGGCTGCAGCGAAGAGGGTGTTGCGTTACTTGTGCAGTACGTTGGGCATGGGGCTTGTGCTTGGAGGGCAGAGTCCAGTGGTCCTCACTGGGCACGCAGACGCTTCTTGGGCTGACGACCAGGCTACGCAGCGGTCGTCACAGGGTTACACCTTCAGGCTTGGTTCCGGCTCTGTTTCGTGGCGGGCTACCCGCTCGTCTTCTGTTCTCGGCTCCAGTTGTGAGGCTGAGATCTACGCCGGGGCCATGGCTGCACAGGAGCTTCGCTGGCTCACCTACCTGCTGACTGACCTCGGAGAGCCGCCTCGTTCTCCTCCAGTGCTGTACGTAGACAACAAGACCATGCTGGCCTTGTGTCGAGAGCAGAGACTGGAGCACAGAACGAAGCACATTGCTCTCCGCTACTTCCTTGCTCGTGAGCTACAGCAGCGTGGTCAGCTGCGGCTTGCGTACGTGGCCTCTCAGGCCAACACTGCTGATATCTTCACCAAGGCACTTGCGCCTTGTGATCATCAGCGCTTCTGTACTCAGCTGGGTCTTGTGCCCACCTTGCCTCACTTGCTCACCCCTTGACCTTGTTTGTACTGATGCATATATATATATACTCCTGCTCTTGCTTGTCTAGCCTTATATATATATGTAATCCTGCATGTGAACTGGCCTTGTGGCCTTGAACTTGTGCTCGGAATGTGTGGTGACTTTGTGATCCACCCTGAGCTTGTTTTGCTTTGCTTGACTGGTCCTGTGACCCCTTGTTCTCCCCCACTTTGCCTATGGGGGTGTGTCAGATTTATATGACATAGCTACTGTAGGCTATAGTGGGGTGGCACATATGGGGTACAGTTTTCTAGGGTTTGCTTTTTGTACCCAACTTTCACTTAGTCATTTCATTCCTCGTTTCTTCTCAAGCACTCTGAAATATATGGACAGAGATTGTTCTGAGTACCACTTGGGGTTCAGTCTAATTTGACGAGTGCATGGACGTTAAAACCCGAGGTCAGCATGGCTCTTGGCAAAAGTACTGAAGGGCTTTAACCGTGTTGGCGAAATACAAAAAGGTTCATTTCGGGAACTTGGGCGTGGCGAAAGCGAGATCAGGCAACGACAAGCTGGTGTAGTCGTCACTCAACATCGGTTGAGCGTGCGACAAACCAACCAATCTGAATGAGGAATAAACCTTGTGGCTGCCCAACCTCACTAATCTTTGGTTAATGATAGTCTACGAGAAGAAATCATCCCGACGGCGCATCGCAGCATAAAATTCGCAGAAACTCTAACAAGTCGCGCCTCCCCTCCTACATCGAGCCCCTCCGCTCGTCACGCTTCCAAATGCCACGTTCCCCCGCCCATCTTCGCGCCACCCCCAGTCGCGCCACCCATCCTTTCGTCGCACATCCTCTGGTGCCTCGCCTCCCGTCGTCGCGCCTCCCCTCGCCGCGCCTCCTGTCCCATCGTCACGCCCCCTCTCGTTTCGGGGAGCCTCCCCTCGTCGCGCCTCCGCTCCCCTCGTCGCGCGTACGCTCGCCTCGCCGCGCCTCCGCGGCATTTTTGCGCCACCGCTAGCCTCGCCGCGCCTCACCGCGCCTCCGCTAGCCTCGCCACGCCTCCGCTCGCGGCCGATCGCCTTGCCGCGCCTCCGCTCGCCTCGCCACGCCTCCCCTGCCATCAACGCGCCAGCACCCTCGGCGCGCTACCCCTCCTCGCGCCTCCACTCCCGCCTCCCTTCTCCCACCTGCCCATCCCTTGCCCTCGCTTCCCTGCCCTTCCATTTCCACTTGTTACCTTCCCCTTCTTTTTGCCTCTGCCTCCCCTGATTCCCCGCCTGCTTCCCCTCATTCCCCCCCTCCTTCCCCTCAATTCCCTCCCTGCTTTTCCTCATTTACTCCCCTGCTTCCCCTCATTTCCCTTCCTGACCCCATTTTTCTCTCTGCTTTCCCTGTTTGTACCCTCCTGCTTCCCCTCGTTTCCCTTCCTGATTCCCCTAATTTTCCCCCTTGCTTCCCCTCATTTCCCTCCCTGCTTCACCTCATTTCCCTCCCTGCTTTCCCTGTTTTTACCTGCTTCCCCTCATTTCCCCCCGTGCTTGTCCTCATTTTTCCCTCTTTTTCCCCTCGTTTCCCCCTCTTCTTCCCCTCGTTTCATCTTTCCCTCCCTGCTTCCCCTCTCCCCCTCTTCCCTATCTCCTTTCTTCCCTATCTCCCTTCTTCCTATCTCCCTTCTTTCCTATCTCCTTTCTTCCCTATCTCCTTTCTTCCATATCTTCTTTTTCTCCTTCTTCCCTATCACCCTTCTTCCCTGTCTCCCTTCTCCCCTATCTCCTATCTTCCGTATCTCCCTTCTTCCCTATCTCCCTTCTTCCCTATCTCCCTTCTTCCCTGTCTCCCTTCTCCCCTGTCTCCCTTCTCCCCTATCTCATATCTTCCCTATCTCCCTTCTTCCCTATCTCCCTTGTCTCCCTTCTTCCCTATCTCCCTTCTATCTCCCTTCTCCCCTATCTCCCTTCTCCCCTATCTCCCTAATCTCCTTGTCTCCCTGCTCCCCTATCTCCCTTCTTCCCTATGTCCCCTCTTCCCTGTTTTCTTTATTTGTTTTCCCTCTTCCCTCCCCCCCCCATCCCTCTCTCCCCTCTTCCCTGTCTCCCCTCTTCCCTGTCTCCCCTCTTCCCTGTTTTATCTCTTCCCTGTTTGTTCTTTTCCAGAACCCCCCTCTTCCCTGTTTTCCCTCTTCCCTCCCTATCCGCCCCCACAATTCATCTCCCCTCTTCCCTATCTCCCCTCTTACCTGTTTTCTCTCTTTGCTATCCCTCCCTATTCCTCTCACCTCTTCCCTATTTTCCCTCATCCCAATTTTCCCCTGTCCCTCTCTCCCCTCGCTATTTCAGAGACTACACTGAAGTTTTTTCTTGCCTCAACTCATTATTCCATCGCATAATTATTGAGTAATCAGTTCCCTTCATTTGTTTCCAAGGCCTAGGCTCATTAGTATGGTATTACTCCCCTTGGCCCTTGCCTATTAGAAAATGCATGGTATGAATTTGCCTCTTTTTGTGACAACCATACTGCCCATGCATTTTGGAAGAATACCGGTATCTTGCGCTGCTAAAAACACTAGTACATTTGGGCATTTGAGATGTATATCTCCAACAGTAAAACAGTGCCATGCTTGCATAAAACACACAAGAAACAGGTGGTGGTATAGACCACCCATTAGCTGCGCCACATTTTGCAACTGTTGCTCCTCTACTTCACTGCCAACTAGAGTAGGCAGAAAGGGTACCAGTGTGAAGGAACATGGGGGAGATGGTGTGAGGTGGAAGGGAACAATGGCAAGGGAATACAAGCAAGTGCACATGGTGAAGGCATGTATGGGGAGACAGTGATGGCAGCACATGCATGAAAGGGAAGGGAAGCGAGGAGAAGGAATAAGGAAAGGAAGGGCAATGGGGAGAGCGGGGATGGAAGGGAGGGCATGGGAAGAGCGGGGCAGGGATGGAAGGGCAGGAATGGGGAGGACAGATGGGTGGAATATGAGGGGGAAGGCAGGTGGGGAGTGAGGAAGGTGGTTGGCATGTGGGGGTAAACTGGGGGGTATGCGGTGGAGGAAAGAGGAAAGAGTGAGGGAAGGTGGGTGTAATGTCAGGGGGAATGTGGAGGATTGGGGGAAAAGGCTGGTGGTACGAAAGGGAGGAGGCGAGTGGAGGGGCAGAAAGAATGGGGACAGGGAGAATGGAGACAGGGAGAATGGGGACAGGGAGAGGGGGACAGGGAGAATGGGGACAGGGAGAGGGGGGACAGGGAGAATGGGGACAGGGAGAGGGGGACAGGGAGAGGGGGACAGGGAGAGGGGGAAAGGGAAGGGGGGGGGGGGAACAGGAAGAAGGGGACAGCAGGGAAGGGGATGGGGGAAAGCAGGGAAGGGAATGGGGGAAAGCAGGGAAGGGGATGGGGGAAAGCAGATGATGGGGGCAAGAGGGAGAGAGGTAAGCAGCGTGGGGGCGATTGGCAATCATTGGGAGGAGGGAAGGGCGTGTGTAGGGGTAGAAGGGTGACAAGGTTGCGATGGAAAGGGAGACGGGAGGGATGGCGAGGGCGACACGACGTGGATGGCAGGGAGACGGGGAAAAAGAGGAGACCGGGAAAGCGAGGGCGACGGGGAGACAGGGAGACGGGGATGGCGCGGGGATGAGCGGGAGGGAGGGCGACGAGACGAAGGGAGGACAACGGGTGGGAGGGAGAGCGACATGTGGATGGGCGGGGCGACGGGCGGGAGGGAGGGCGACGTGCGGAAGGGAGGGCGACGTGCGGAAGGGAGAGTGACGAGCGGATGGGAGGGCGACGCGCGGAAGGGAGGGAGACGCGCGGAAGGGAGAGCGTCGAGCGGATCGGAGTGCGGCGAATGGATGAGAGCGACGGGAGGAAACGTGAGCGGGGTACGGAAGCGTGCGCGGCGTAAAGAAGGGAGGGCGACGAGCGGAAATCAGAAACAGGGCGACGGGTGGCATGTGAACGACGAGAGCGAGTAATGGGAGCCAAGGAACTGTAGGCGTTACGGCGTCGCGAGGGCGACTGGTCGAACGTAAACGACTAGAAACCTAACCCTAGACCAATGAGAATATAGCAGGAGCATGCCGCGCGTGTTCGTACATGAGTTTTGGGGTGAAAAGGAGTGATTCTATTAGCGTGAATGACGGGTGAACCAGGTATAGGATGCTTGCCATTTAGTACAAGATGGTTTTCAAGTTTACTGCCAGCGGACCCCCCAACTGGTGTGACTTCGAATGTCGCTGGCCAATCACGGATCACTATCGCACACCACTCCCCCTTGATCGTGAAAAAAAGTTCAACTTCAGGTGGTAACATGGTGTTTGGCGAATTCATATTCAAGAATCTTGAATATGAAAACAGCCATGTGGAACTCGGGCTTTAAATTTACGAAAAAAAACGATCATGTGCAAAGTTGGACCCACCCTTAGGGAACTGCAGGCAAGCCGGAGTCGGGTTTCTTTCCGCCTGACTCTTTTCTCCTGCACTACTACTGCTTACTTAGGTTCTTGCCGAGCTTCTTAACCTGTGACTTACGGACTTGTGAAGGAGCCGCCTAGAATGTGTTATATTACGCGCTCACCATACCATACCTCCTCGTTGTGCCTTCCATGGCGACATAGGATACCATTTTGATAATCATCGCAGAAACTGATGTTAGGTATCCGCTGCTGCACTTCGTCCGAAATACCTCCGCGGATGGTAGTTCGTTCGTCTCTCGACGGAGCGACGGCGCAACGACTTTTTCTGAATACGCCAACTACGGACCACTATGGCTGTACTACTTCTAGAACATGAACGAGATGTGACGATGGCAAAACCTCGAACATCATGGCAAGCCGAGAAGCTCTCGACGCAATCGCTCTCGCTTTTTCGCTCGCTCTCGTTGGACTCTACATGTACTGCTTTCCTTTCTCCCGATTCGTGACATCGCATCCAACTTCCCCGAGTCCACCACCTCCATCGTCGCCTCCGTAGACGGCGTCTCTCTTCAAGTCCCAGCAGACCCTTTGCATGTGAGCGATTCGCCGCACGTTCCAATCCAAGCAGACCCTTCGCTTGTGAGCGGCACAAGCGGCGTTGCTGTAACAGAATTTCCATCAGTTCTCACTTCCTCACGCTCAGCAGCTTTTGACGCTGCGCCTAACCTCTCTTCCTCAGCAGAATCAGGTGTCACCCCATTATCCACAGAGATACCGCCATTGTCCTCCTATGCTCCTAGTGCAAAATCTCCTCCTCCCACCACTCCTCCAACTAACCCTCCTGGTACCGAACCTCATACCAACCCTCCTAACATATCATCCTCAGCAGAAAAAGGTGTCACCCATCCGTATCTCCCCCGCCCACCAATCCTACAACTGGTCCTCCTACCAAACCTCCTACCAAACCTTCTTCCGAACCTCCCACCCAACACTCCAACCAAACCTCCCACCAAACCTCCAACCAACCCTCCTACCGACCCTCCCACCAATCCTCCAGCCAAACATCCTACCGATCCTCCCACCAAACCTCTTACCGAACCTCCTACCAGACCGCCAACCGAGTCTCCCGCCAAACCTCCTACCGAACCTGCTGACGAACCTCCTACCGAACCTTCTTCCAAACCTCCTACCGAAACTCCCGCCAAGCCTCATTCTAACTCTTCCCTCTCCAAGCCTGACCCAAACCTCTGGACCCGAATCCCAGGCTCCGTGCTCGATTCCCTCGAGAAGATTAGATCATTCCGAGAAAGATTCGATTGCATAGGGCGGGAAGGCAAGTGGGTGTACGACGATTTGCCGCGGCTGCTGCCGTGGCTGGACGATATGAGCAAATGCGACGTGCGCCATTTGAACAAAAGCTCCCAAAACTTGGCGTTTCAAAACGCGGATCATCTGGTGGGTCGGTTTAGAAAGGTTGTGACTCAAATAGAGGAGATGACTCGGGGAGGAAAAGAGATTCCGCAGCAGCAGATGGGCAAGTTGAAAAAGCTGGAGAGATGGAATAATACTCTGAGGCGTCAGTGGGCTGTAAGAAAGACTCTCGAGTATCGCTGGGAGGTCCCAGAAAGTGATGCGGAGCAGCAGGATGGGGGGACAGCTGAAGCTCGCAATCGCAGCAGCAGCAGCAGCAGCAGCAGATGCGGTGGGCCTTGGGAACGGTTCTCTCCATATACGTTTTGCAAAGTTCTGGATAAGCAACACGTGCTTGTAGTGGGTGACTCAATGAATATGCTTCTAGCCGAGGCTATCAGGTACAATCTAAGAATAGGCGCGAAGAACCAGGACTTCCGGGTCCAATGGGAAGAGCCGACAGGCTACTGCCAGCGGTACCGAAACGCAACATACTTAGTAAAGCTACAATTGCTGCTGGACTGTTAATGCATGTGCCGACTTCGGCTTTTCCGTCCGGATTTCCTTCATCCGGGATTTTTACCTCAACTCCACGGAAGACGTGAACGATTTCCTGGTGGATAGGAGCTTCAAGGAGTTGTGGATGGATGAGATTGTTCCGATGAATGTGTTGGTTATGGTCTTGAACCGAGGGGCTCACTACCATCACAACGCCAGGTTTGAGCGGCAGTTGCGGCCTACTCTGCTGGCCCTCCAGAACGCCCACCCTGAAATGCTCATGATCGTCCGAAACACCCTGCCCGGGCATCTCAACTGCTCGTTGCACGATACGCCGCTTTCCAAGAAGCTTCTAGACCTTCCGGAGGGCAAATGCTGGCACTGGGACAGGTTTTCGGAGCAGAATGGGATTGTCAAGTAGCTGACGAAGGGCGTGGGAGGGGTGTACATGGATGTGAATGCGTCGGCGGTGTGGCGGCCCGAAGGGCATGTGGATCGAAAGGAATGCCTCCATTACTGCCACCCAGGCCCCGTGGACATGTGGGTGCAGCTGCTCTTCAACATGTTGCAGGGGCTGCTGGTTCCTAGCAGCAGCTGAGATGTTGAGGCTATCACACTGTCAGAAGTCTAGGCAGGAATGAATGGACTAGAACAGAGTTGGGTACAAATGTGAAACCCTAGAGGGGCTATACCCCATATTGGCTACCCCATTACAGCCTAGACATATATAGCATACATATCATTTGACACACCCCCATTGGCAAAGTGGGGGAGAGCAAGGGGTCACAAGACCAGCGAAGAGAAGAAACAAAACACAGCTCAGGGTGGATCACAACGTCACCACACACACTGAGTACAAGCAAAGGGGCCACAAGGCCAGTTCACATGCAGAGATATATATGCAATAGCAACAGCACAGTGATCTCTACCTAGCAAGAACAAGCATGCATGTAGATCTATATAGATCACAGTACAAACAAAGCCTGCAGCAAGTGAGGAAACGTGGGCACAAGGCCCAACAAAGTACAAAAGCGCTAATGATCACCAGACGGAAGTGCCTTGCTGAATATATCAGCAGTGTTGGCCTGAGTGGCCATATGAGCAAGACAAAGCTGACCACGCTGCTGCAGCTCTCGAGCGAGGAAGTAACGCAGAGCGATGCGTTTCGTTCTGTGCTCCAGTCTATGCTCCTGACACAAGGCAATGGCGGCCTTGTTGTCGACGTACAGCACTGGACGAGAACGAGGCCGCTCTCCCAAGTCGGTCAGCAGGTAGGTAAGCCAGCGTAACTCCTGTGCAGCCATGGCTGTGGCATAGATCTCAGCCTCGCAACTGGAGCTGAGAACAGAGGAAGAGCGTGTAGACCGCCAAGAAACAGAGCCAGAGCCAAGGCTGAAGGTGTAACCCTGTGACGATCGCTGCGTAGCCTGGTCGTCAACCCAAGAAGCGTCTGAGTGACCAGTGAGAACAACGTCGCCCCGTCCTCCAAGCACGAGCCCCATGCCCGATGTACTGCACAAGTAGCGTAGTACCCTCTTAGCAGCATCCATGTGCACCTTTTGGTGCTGACCAGGAGCCACGTAGCGAGCCAGAAGGCCAAGAGGGTATGCAAGGTCAAGACGAGTGTAGGTCATCAGGTACATGAGGCAGCCCACTAGCTCTGGGTAGGGACCACTCGGCTCTACGGACTCGTCCGAAGGTGGAGCTGAGAGCGAGTGACCTGTAGCCAGGGGAGTGGCCTGTGCTGAGGGCCAGGTGAAGCGGAAGCGCTGAAGGACCTGCTGCACCATGTGTGACTGAGTCAGTGTGATGTGCGGCGTGCTCTGTCCCGGGTGATCTGCAAGCCAAGATAGCTGCGCAGCTCACCCAGGTCTGCGCACGTGTGTCTCTTCTGCAGCTCCGACTTCACCAGGGCGAGAGCCTCAGTGTGAGCAGTGGCAAAGACCAAGTCGTCGACGTACACGAGGATGTAGAACAGCGGCAGCGAAATGTCGGTGCGCAGAAACAGCGACGGGTCAGCAGTCGACGGGGCAAACCCAAGAGCCGCAAGTGTAGTCCTCAGTGTGTCGTGCCACTCACGAGGCACCTGGCGGAGGCCGTAGACTGGCCGCCGGAGGCTCCACTGGGTACCAGGAGGGAACGACTCAGTGAAGCCAGGTGGGCGGCGCAGCCAGATCTCCTCGTGCAGGCTGCCCTGTAAGAAGGCTGTGCTAAAGTCAAGAGAGTGAAGCTCGTAGTCACGCTGAGCGGCAACGTGCAGCAGCACCCGAAGAGTGGTCATCTTCGGGGTGGGGGAGAAGGTTTGGAAGAATTCAACTCCCTCCCGCTGAATGAAGCCTCGAGTAACGTAACGAGCCTTGAAGACAGGCGGAGAACCTGGCGGCCGCTTCATCCTGAAAATCCACATGCCATCGACGATGTTCGCCCCAGGAGGGGGAACCTCATCGATGTAGGTGCATGTGGACTTCCAGGATGCCATCTCTGCGTCCATGGCTGACTGCCACTGAGAGGAGTAGGGACCCGCGATCGCCTCAGCGTAAGATCGCGGAGTCGGGATGTCTGGTGCATCCGGGTCTCCCTCAGGGGCAAGCAGCATGGCCACGAGATGAGGCGCAGCGGCTGCAAGACAC